CCCCAAAACCCCAAAACCCCAAAACCCCAAAACCCCTTTTGGGTCATATGAGATTGAAGTAAATTTGAAAAATTTTAGGCTATAATGACCCCCTTCTCATGCACGCTTAAGTGGGGATCCATCTAAAACTCTTGGTTAGCGAGGATCTTATTAAACACTTCTACCATCTTCTTATTAATTCCCTCGTACTCATCCATCTTGTCTTCAATCTGCTTGATTCCTAAGTTCTCAAGGTCTCTCGATAACTTGAGGTACTCCATCAACTGGTTGTACCAGAGAAAAAGATAGGCAGAGGCAGCACATTCTTTGGAGATCATTGCAAATGTTAAGTCAGTGTGCACTGAATATATCTTCTTGACTAACCGAAGCTGATCATGAGTGATATTAGACACTTTGAACGATTCTGTCATTTTGATAAACTTTTTGTTCCTAAGTAAGCCTCTGAATTTCAACCATATTTGTTTGAGCTCTTTTCTACTTGAAAAATCGTACTTATGAGGCTCTGGAAGCTCCCAACCCATGAGAATAAGTGAGGTTAGGAAGGGAACAATTAGTGCTCTACAAGGTCTGGGCATGTATCCGATGTCTAAAATTTAAGATTAATAAACATACCTTGAACTTCTGGGAAAAGTTTACTTCTTCCTTTACTCTTTGTCAATCACTCATGTAGCTTTTCTTCTATCTTACTATTCTCACTTTTAAGGTGATAATGCTTCTCAAGAGTTGATGTGTCGAATTCAGACTCAATGCTTTCTTTTGATTTATTTTATCAAACATTCAAGTTCATAAATCCTAATACTCCAGCCATAACAAATACTCTGATTGAACTTCTTGCACACCAGACGTAGGTCAAGGCAAGAAGAAAGGTCAATAAACGTAAAAACTTCTGCAAGAGAGCCTAGGTTCAGTGTTAATACACCATTCTCACACATCTGAGCCTTCCCATAACACAACTCCACTCTCTCCAACCCCTCAAAACCCCAATTCTTGCTTCCTTCTAAACTTTCCATTTCTGCTAAAATTCTGGTTCAATTATATTAAATCACCCAGGGGTTTTGGGGTTTTGGGGTTTTGGGGTTTTGGGG